CACATCCTTCTAGTTGCGGCATGTGGGACTCGGCCTCAGGATGGACGGAGAAGTGGTGCCTCGATGCGCACCCGGGATCCGAACCCGGGCCGCCAGCATTGCAGCGCGCGCACTTAACCACCAAGCCACAGGGCCGGCCCAACCATGTGGTTTTCATTCCTCGTTTTGTTAATGTGGTGTATCACGTTGATTGATTTGTGGATGTTGAACCATCCCTGCGTCCCTGGTATAAATCCCACTTGATCATGGTGTATGATCTTGTTAATGTATTGCTGTATTTGGTTTGCCAATATTTTGTTGAGGATTTTTGCATCTATATTCATCAGCGATATTGGCCTGTAATTTTCCTTTTTTGTATTGTCTTTGTCTGGTTTTGGTATCAGGGTGATGTGGGCCTCGTAGAATGAGTTAGGAAGTGTTCCATCTTCCTCTATTTTTTGGAATAGTTTGAGAAGGATGGGTGTTAGATCTTCTTTGAATGTTTGGTAAAATTCACCAGAGAAGCCGTCTGGTCCTGGACTTTTATTTTTTGGGAGGTTTTTGATTACTGTTTCAATCTCTTTACTTGTGATTGGTCTATTCAGATTCTCTATTTCTTCTTGGTTCAGTTTTGGGAGGTTGTATGAGTCTAAGAATTTATCCATTTCTTCTAGATTGTCCGATTTGTTGGCATATGCCTATGGATGTTGTTGTGGTAAAGTTTATAGTAATTTAGGTAAATTAAGAATGATTTGAGAAATTATGGCATGTTGAGATCATTGAAAATTCTCCAGGGTTAGTAGAGTGAAACCCCACCCTGAGCCACCTTGTTAGCATAAACTCAGGAGTGGTCCACAGGGCTCATTTTGAGTAACAAAAGACACTCCTATGGCTCAGGATATTCTAAGGATTTTAGGAGCTCTGTACCAGCAACTAGAAAGGATGACCAAATATGTGTTCGCATGCTCTTGAGAGGTTTTTTCCACACTTTTAATTTAATTATACACTATGTGTGTGCACACACATTCTGTGTTTTTCCCGTTTTAAAATTTGTCAGAGGAGAAAGTAGCTTCTCTGTCAACAGCAGCACACTCCTGGCTGATGGGAATAGCTGGCTCTTGCTCCTAAAAAGTTGGCTCAAACTCTATCACCTTCTCGTGAGTGGCTTGGTGGTGGCAGCCCCGCTTCCCCATGGTTGCCCGTGTGGTGCCAGAGCCCGGGCTGTGGGGGCAGCGTCCCCTCATTGTTTGGACTCCAGAGGAGAGGGCGAGATGCCAAGGTGGACCAGGTGGGCTCCAGTGCTGTGGGAGCTCTCGCTGTGGCCTGCCGTCTGTGAGTCACAAGGTCCACTAACAAGGTGGTACCGATGTAGGGCACCCCGAGCGTAAGCTGCCGCAGGAGGCAGAGGCTCGGGGCAGAGCATGTTTGGTGCTGATTAAAAAGGGAAAACAGACGACTAGAACAGGCACTGCTCCCTTTCACAAGACCTGAGGTGATTTCTTCTCGGCATTTGTTTGCTTTTTAGGTAGCTATGGGTTGGTTGGTTCACGGTTATTCTAGAATTTAGGTGTTAGTGACCGTTTGTGGGGTTTTTTTCCAGTTTACTTTTTAATTTACATAGAGTTAAGTTCACTTTTTGGTACAGTTATATGAGTTTTGACACATGCATACTTTTGTCATGTAACCAACAGTGCCATCAAGACACAGACTATTTCCAAGTGTTCTCCCCTCCCAGATTCTCTCGTGCTGCCCCTTTGTAGTCAGAACTCCCCCAACTTGTATCCCCTGGTAGGCACTCAACTGTCCCTGTAGGTTAGCCAGTTCCAGAAAGTCCTGTCAGTGGAGTGACAAGGTAGGTAGCCTTTAAACCAGACTCTGACCCCACGTGACGCACATGGGGTTCACCGGCATTGGTGCCGTGTTGGTGGCTGGGTCATTTTACTGCTGTGCAGTGCCCACCACAGGGCTGTGCGGGCTGTTCTCCCTTCTTGCCTGTGAGGCGTGGCGCATGGCTCCAGTTTGGGGTGATGGGCAGTAGGCTGCTGTGAGGCCGTGCGGATTTCCACGGGAGCGTTGGTCACCGCCTCGAATGGGCTTGTGGGGCCTACGGCAGATGTATGTTTGACCAGGATTGCCTTTGCCTCTTTCTCAGAAGTCATATGACTGTATCTGAGTGGGTCTGTCTCTGGACTCGGTTCTGTCTCCTTGATCTGTGTGTCCTTTCACCAATGCCACACTGTCTTCATGACTAGAAGTCTTGAAATCAGATAGTGTGAACCCTCCTACTTTGTTGTTTTTCGAAAACACTCTTTGGTTATTCTAGCTCCTTTGCCTTTCCATATACATTTTAGAAACAGTATGTCAGTATCTACAAAAAATTCTACTGGGATTTTGATTGGAATTATGTTACATCTGTAGATACATTTAGGGAGAATTGACATCCTAACAATATTTAGTCTTTTAATTTGCAAACCCAGTGTATCTCTGTATTTACTGAGGACTTCTTTTATGTCTTTCATTGGTGTTGGGTCGTTTTCAGCATACAGATCCTGGACATATTTTATTTAATTTAGGCTTAAGTATTTCATGTGTTTTGGTGCTATTGTGAGTAGGACTTTAGTTTTCATTCTGACAGTTGATTGCTAGTATGTAGAGATACAGTTTATTATTTGTATATTGACCTTGTGTCCTGTGGCTTTGCTAAACTTATTTATTAGTTCTAGTAGTTTTTCTGTGGATTTCTTTGGAATTTCTGTGTAGAGGATCAGATTGACTCTGATTAAAGATGGTTGGACTTCTTCCTTTCCAATCTAAATATCTGCCTTTTATTTTTTTTTCTTGCCTTACTGCTCTGGCTGGGAGCTCCAGTACAGTGCTGAGTAGCTGTGGGGAGGGTAGATGTCCTTGTCTTGTTCCTGACCTCAGGGGCAAACAGCCAGTCTCTCGCCGTGGAGCAGGATGTTCACTGTCAGTTTTTTGTTGATGCCCTGTATCAGGTTGAGGAAGGGCTCTTCTCTTCCTGGCTTGTTGAGTATTTTTATCGTGAAAGGGTGTTGGGGGACTTTGTCAGATGCCCTTTCTGTATCTATTGACATTATCAGAACGTTTTTCAATTGTTAATATAGTGAATTATGTTGATTCATTGATTTTTATTTATTTATTTATTTTTGCTGAGGAAGATCGGCCCTGAGCTAACGTCTGTTGCCAATCTTCCTGTTTTTGCTTGGAGGATTCGTCCTGAACTAACACCCATGCCAATCTTCCTCTGTTTTGTATGTGGGTCGCTGCCATAGTGTGACTGCCGACGAGTGGTGTAGTTCCATGCCCAGGAATTGAACCCAGGCTGCCAAAGCAGAGCACACTGAACTTAACCACTAGGCCACGGGGCCTGCCCTGATTTTTTTTTGTGTGTGTGTGTGAGGAAGATTAGCACTAAGCTAACATCCGTTGCCAATCCTTCTCTTTTTGCTGAGAAAGATTGGCCCTGGGCTAACATCCGTGCCCATGTTCCTTTACTTTATATGTGGGATGCCTGCCACAGCATGGCTTGATAAGTGGTGCGCCATTCCGTGTCCAGGATCCAAACCCACGAACCCTGGACTGCCAAAGCAGAGCACATGAACTTAACCACTATGCCACCAGGCCAGCCCCCTAAGTAAGGAAGATGGGCATGGATGTTAGCCCAAGGCAAATCTTCCTCAGCAAAAAGAGGAGGACCGGCAAGAGATGTTAGCTCAGGGCTAATCTTCCTCACCAAAAAAAAAAATGCATTCCTGGGATAAGTCCTACTTGGGCATGGTATATATTCCTCTTTATGTGTTAATGGTTTTAGTTTGCTAATACTCTGTTTAGGATTTTTGCATCTGTGTTCGTGGGGGATATTAGTCTGTAGTTTTCTCGTACTGTCTTGTTCTGATGTTAATGGCAGAGTACTGCTAGCATCATAAAATGAGTTGGCAATTGTCCCTCCTGTTGAGATTTTTTTCAAGAGCCTCTATGGAATCAGTGTCATTTCTTCCTGAAGTGTTTGATAGTTGTCTGTGAAGCTATCTGCCCCCGGACTTTTCTTTGTGGGAAGGTTTTTAACTATAAATTCAATTTCTTGAATAGAATAGGGCAATTTAGGTAGTTTGCGTTTTTTAAGGAATTGGTCCATTTTATCTAAATTGTTGAATTTATGGGTGTTGGGCTGTCTTTGGTGCTCCCTCATGGTCCTTCACTGTGTGCCAGCCACTGACCACCCGGGCTTCTCCTGTGCTGTTGTTAGTGGGTCACTTTTGCTCTTTTTCTGTGTTCTCTTGAGAGCTGCAGTCCCACACTCCCCTGGCAGGTTAACCATCAGTGATGTGTGGCTGAGGCCAGTGGTGCAAGTAATTATGGTGTGGGCCTTTGCCAGAGGCTGTTGGGTGTCTTTGGGCTTCCAAGTGTGTGTTCTCCGGCAGTGTGTGTGTTGGTCTTGGCTCCGTCAGGGTGGCTTCTGGAGCCGGAGGCTACGTGGATCATTCTCCACCTGCTCAGCCTGCCTGTAGGTCCACAGCCCAGGTGCTGACTGCTGGTTAGAGAGAGGGTCCTCATGGGCTGAGTGAGAGCGAGACACTGCTGATGGCTCGGCTGCCTGGCATCCATTGAGGACGAGCCCAGGGCCTGACGTCCTGGTGAATAACTTTCTCTGGAAACTGATCCATACTGATGTGGGTGCTTGAGAGTGGAGGCATCTTGTGGGGACCTGTTGGAAGACAATAGCCAAACAATAGTAAGAGGATTTCCTGCTCTCCAGAATTAGCAGTCCTCTTCAGAAACAGAGCCTTTCTTTCCTTGATTGTCGCAGTGAGTCTGCCTCCTCGCTGAAGCAGGTGGTGGGAGAGGAATCCCCCACCTCCCTGCCCAAAGCAGCAGTGTTATAAGTGTTCTTATAAGAGGAGGGGAGGGAGATGGAGAGAACGCCCAGTGGAGATGGGAGTGGTGCTGCCACAAGCCAAGGAAAGCTTGGGCCTGCCAGGAGCTGGAAAAGTCAAGGAAGGATCCTCCCCGAGAGGCTTCAGAGGGAGCGGCGCCCTGCTGACACTTTGATTTTGGACTTCTGGCCTCCAGAATTGTGAGAAAATAAATTTCTGTTGTTTTAAGCTACCCAGTTTGTGGTACTTTGTTATGGCAGCCCCAGGAGACTAACCCAGCCCACACTGGGGAGGTGGGCTATGCTCCTGAGGGGGCCAGGCGGCATCCTCCATTCACCAGGGGGCAGTTGGGGGTCAGAGCCACCTCCTGACTGGTGTCTGCCTCTGTCCTGCAGAACTTCCTTTTCCCTTAACTGTTAACCCTTCCTTTTTTTTTGGTGAGGAAGATTGTCCCTGAGCTAACGTCTGTGCCTGTCTTCCTCCATTTTGTATATGGGACGCCGCCACAGCATGGCTTGATGAGCGGTGTATTGGTCCGCGCCCGGGATTCGAACCTGCGAACCCCAGGACGCTGAAGTGGAGCACGTGAACTTAACCACTACACCACTGGGCCGGCCCCTGTTAACCCTTCTTAACCTTTCTGTTCCTTGGTCACAGTGATTGGTGTCAGAGCCAGGAAGACTTCATGTTTGAGAGTAGAGCTGGGCTAGGCCCTTTGCAGCCTCTTGGGCTGTGTGTGCTGTGGAGCTTCAGCCTTCAGGGAGCTTGGCCTTTTAGAGGGCAGCTTTTGTGTCTGGCTTACCTTCTCTCTTCTGTAATCTCACTATAATGATCGTCAAGTTTTTCTCCTAAGGTTGCTTATCTTTAGATTTCTAATTGTCTGATCAGACTCAGATTCAGGAAGGGCTCCCCAGGCTGGCCAGCCATGCGGTCCAGGCCCTTGCTGCACCAGGCTCTCCCACCCCGTCGCGCAGTGCTCTCTCCAGCCTTGCACAGCGCCGTTCCTCAATGTGTGTCTCAAAGGAGCAGCTGGACAGGGAGGTGTGGGGGGTGTGGCGTGCTCCGTGAGGTAATGAGGAGGACAGGAAGCCTCTGGGGGAAGTAGCACGGGGAGCAGCTCCGTGAGGCCGGTGGGCTTGGTCCAGCACTTAGGAGTGGCTACTTTGTTTTGTAGTATTTTAACCACATCAGTATCGAGGACTCGCGGGTCTACGAGCTGACCAGCAAGGCCGGACTGTTGTCTCCCTATCAGATCCTCCACGAGTGCCTTAAAAGGTAGGGCGAGGTGCTTCCCCTCCTAAGTATGGTCGTGGGGGCTTCTCTCTGGGCGTCCAACATCCTCACTGACCATTTGTCCTGGCTCAAGATGGGATGCTCAAGGCCGAGCCATTGCAAGTGTTTCCTGCGCACACAGAAGCTGCTTGCGCCTGGTGGGCCGTCAGAGCCCCGTGGGGTCAGATTGGGTGTACCAGGAGGATCTCTTCAGCTGAGAAGGGGTTTGAGGAAAAGGGTTGGCATTGTCTTCAAAGAAAGGACTTTCCAGAAGCAGCCATTTCCTCCTTCTCAGCTGATGTCACCTGTTGTCTTTGTTTTCTCTTAAAGAAACCATGGAATGGGTGACACATCCATCAAGTTTGAAGTGGTTCCTGGTAAAAACCAGAAGAGTGAATATGTCATGGCGTGCGGCAAGCACACAGTGCGCGGCTGGTGTAAGGACTGCCTCCTCTCCACCCACCACGCTTTCAGATGACCACTGGGGGCTGTCGCCCTGTGGGGTCCTGTCTGTGGCCTCTCTGGGAGCCTCAAGCCTCTATGGCTTGATCGCTGGCCGCTGCCCTGGCGTCACTCCCAAGCTGCAGCTGCGTGTGCTGATCACTTGCGGTTGTGTCCACCAGTATCTCACCTCCAGCCTGAGGCGCGACTGTGGTAGTCCTGTGTGCACCGCCTCTGTCCTCCCCTCTCCTGGGCTCGGGCTGGTCATTTTGGCTGGGCCGTGTGTTCCCCTTCTGCCACCACTGCCCCTCTCCAGCCCTTGGTCCCTGGGGCGGGAGGAGAGGCATCCTCCTAATAGGGCAGCAGAGCCTCCACACTGCCACACTCTGCATCCCTGTGCTGGGTGTGCGCCTGCCCCTCTGTGTTCTGGGCTTTGTGTGCATCACCTGTATACTTGACCTAATTTGGTTTCTGAAATAGCCACTTTTTAAAATATATTTATTTTATTTATTTTTTTGGTGAAGAAGAGTGGCCCTGAGCTAATGTCTGTTGCCAATCTTCCTCTTTTTGCTGAGGAAGATGAGCCCTGAGCTAATATCTGTGCCCATCCTCCTCTATTTTGTATACGGGATGCCACCACAGCATGGCTTGATGAGCGGTGTGCAGGTCTGTGCCCAGGATCCGAACCTGTGAACCCCGGGCCGCCGAAGTGGAGCACTCACACTTAACCACTACACCACTGCGGAGGTCCCTATGTTTATTTTAAAAGAAAACTTTGTGTAACTCCAGTAAACACAAAGCTGGTGCTGTGTAAATGAGAAGGCAGTGCACAAATGAGCCTTAGTAAAACTGCAGGACCACATTGAGCCCCGGAGTGCCCTGTGCCCCAGTCCCTGCTGAAATGCACTCCTGAGCAGGCGGGCAGGGTGTGGGACAGAGTAGGGATCCTGGCCCTGTAACCTCCTCACATCCAACCCAGGAGGCCCTGTCTGGAAGTGTGGCCAGTCTTGGCCCTCCTGGCCAGAGGTATCTCCTGGCACTCGCCATTCTCCAGACCCACTCTGCGCCCTGGCCCTGCCTTCCCTCTGCCTAGTAACTGCCTCCAAAGCTCACACACATCCTCTGGAAACTCTTCCTCTGGGCCTTCTGGTGGAGCCCCCTACTCTCTGCCTGCCCCCAAGGAGCCCCAGGCCACGTGCTTCATGATGCCTCGTTTCTTCTTGTCTGTGTGTCTGGAAATGTGGGGTTGTGTCAGGAGGGAGGTCTCTTAAGCTGTGTGACCTTGGGCCCATCCTGACCTCCCAGAGCCTCTGATGGGCTGCTCCGCACAGTAGGGTAGTGCTGGGTCCTGGCTTCAGAGTCGTGAGATGCGCGTGCTCAGCACGGTGGTAGAGCACTTCTCACCCCTTCCTGTGGAATGTGCCCTTGGCCAGGTGCGGGGAATGGCAGGTGCGCTCCTGTTGAGGTGAGGGGGCTGTGTGGACAGCTGGATGTTTGTGACTCCCTCTCGCCACGTTTCTTCTCCCTCTTCACAGGTAAGAATAAGAGAGTCGGAAAACAGTTAGCATCTCAGAAAATCCTTCAGCTGCTGCACCCACATGTCAAGAACTGGGGGTCTTTACTGCGCATGTATGGCCGTGAAAGCAGCAAGATGGTCAAACAGGTAACCAGACCCCTTCCCAGGGCCTAGGACAGCTTCTGTGTCTTGTTCCCGCCACCCAACATGTCTGGGGTCCTGCTGTCACGGAACAGAGTTGGGCAGCTGGGCTCTCCCCGTCCTCTCTAAGAGATGCCTTGTGCTCATTTGAGGACACCTAGTGGCTTAAGGGAGAGTGAGCATACAAGGGCAGCTCTCCCTAGCTATGAACACCAGTTTACTTGTAACTAAACAGCCTGTGTGTGTCATCTGTTTTGTTTCTGCTGTTTTTGCCAAGATCTTGAGATTTAAACCAATACCCTTAGGTTTGTGTGCTTTGTGGGGTGGAGGGAAGTGTTGGGACAGGAGTGTTTACATTTAAAAATTTTTCTCTTGATGTTTACAGAAATGGTCTGGGTTTTCTACACCCTAGTAAGGGGAAGGGTGGTTGGCATGGAGCGGGGGACTGCAGGTGGTGACCCCGAGGACCATGCTGTGGACCCTCAGGCCATTCCTGAAGAGGTCCTCATTCTGGGCATGACACGGTGGGGTGAGGGAGGTGACACTGGGCCCCCAGGTGCTTAGAAGAACCTTAGGATATGTGTTGTTGAGAAAACTCAGACGCAGTGCAGGTGAAGCTTACTTCTGCCTTTGTGTGTGTGTTTTACTTCTGTGCATTGTCTTGGGCTAAGACTGAGGGAGAGAAAGCCCACTTTGGCCCATGGGTGGGAGCCCTTCCTAAGCTGGAGGGCAAGGGGTCCAGCCCAGACACAGCCCCAGTGCTTGGCTTTTGGAGGACAGTGGAGTTTGGTACCCTAAGGCGTGGCAGACATCCTCAGAGATGGCCTCTTAAGACAGAAAGGGCCTCAGGACAGCATGATCCTGTTCTGCAAGTTATAGGGCCTGCAGAGAGCTCAGCGTTGGGCCGACAGATTCTCAGCCGGCCCTGGGCCCGGGGCGTGTCCTGTCCAGCAGCATGCTGTCCCTGCTGGCCGTGTCAGAGGTGTTTCCATCCTCCCTGCTGCACCCGGGTTTGGGAGTAGAAGCAGCTGGGTGCTAGAGTGCCTTTGTCCTGTGAAGGGAGAAGGCCGTGCCTGCTGAGAATGAGGCAGAAGTGGAGGTGGCCGTAGACTGCTCCACATTCTCTGCTGCTACATCACCCTGCCGGGCATGGGTTGAGTGTGGGGCCATGCGTGCATCTCTGGTTCCGGGCCACAGGGTGCCTGTGAGGCCCTTGGCAGTCCTGAGAGTGAGGCACTGTGCTCCCCAGGAGACCTCAGACAAGAGCGTGATTGAGCTGCAGCAATATGCCAAGAAGAACAAGCCAAACCTGCACATCCTGAGCAAGCTGCAGGAGGAGATGAAGAGGCTGGCGGAGGAGAGGGTGAGTGTGTGGGCCCGGGTCACGGCTTCTCGACGCCCTCCATCCCCTCGCCTCAAAGGGAGCAGAGGGTCCCTGAGCTGGGGCCACGCTACAGCTGTCGAGGAAAGCCATTTCCTATAGGAACCCATGACTGGTTCCTGACGCCCCGGCACCACCTGGGTGCCTGAATAGCCCGTCTTCCAGCAAACCCTCAGTCCTTCCAGATTAGATTTTCTTGCCCCTGAGCTTCAGCATTCATGATCCTTGTGTCCTTTATTTGTAGTTCAATTAGAGAGCTGGCAGTCCTGGCCTGTGGCTGTGAAGGGCCTGGCCTCCTGTGCACTGACGCTGGGTCCCCACTCAGCAACAGCCATTTGAGGGCAGAGACAGTGCAGCTGTCAAGGTCCTTGTGGGTGACAGGCTGCCATCCTGGACCTCTTCCTCCTTGAGTCCTCTGCAGTTATGTGACGGAGAGTGTGGCTCACAGAACGATTGAACCTGGGTAGGGCTCAGTCCTGGTGAAGCTTCCTAAAGCCACTTGCCTGAGGGGTTTCTGGGCTAGGACCTTTTATGGCTGTGGTATTATATAATATATGGCTTATATATTATATATGGCTTATATAAAATCCTGAGAAGGAGGTGTCTGCTGTCTCTGTGGCCTTTCCAGTCCAGGAGACACCTCACTCCTGCCCTCAGGTCGGGGTGAGGAGAGACCCGCCCAGGAGGCTTGTCCTTTGTGGCTGTGACCTTGGCCTTTGACTTCTGGGTGTGCGTCCTGATTCCCAGGGAAGTGCCAACACACCATGCTCTGTGATGGCGTCCAGGGAGACCCTCCCACCCAGTACCCTACCTGGCCCACTCCTCAGGCCTTCCCTCCTCCTTCCAGCTTGGCATCACAGAGCACGGGTGCCAGTCTGCTGGGCTTGCCCCTCACCTACCCTTCTCCCTCTGAAGCCTCTTGCCCAAGTTTGGGCTGCATGTGCCCACCTTGCTGGTGTCACTAACCTTCATTGTTCTTCCAGGAGGAGACACGGAAGAAGCCCAAGATGTCTATTGTGGCGTCTGCCCAGCCTGGTGGCGAGCCCCTGTGTACTGTGGATGTGTGAGGGAGGCGGCGGGGCCTGGTGCAGGGGGCCGCCAGCTCCGCTGCTGAAGAGACCACACGCCACTCACTCTGCAGCCTCAGGCCTCCCTCCAATCTGAGTTCCTCCCCTGTGGCCAGGCGTCTTGAGCACCGGAGCCAGAGGGGTGGGGCTCTGGTGCACGGGGACGGCCAGGACCACAGCTCTTCTTTGGGGGCCGCCCACAGGTCTAAGTGGACAGGTTCAAAGATCAACTCAGCCTGCCCTCACAGGTGGAAGCCAAGAGCTTGGAGATAGCTGTGGACCTCTGCTTGTACAGATTTGCTGCAGACGGGTTTTATGAAGGTTTTCATGAATTTTAGTACATAATACGCACTGACAAGAAATGAGAGTTGGATGACAGATGGAATAAGAAAGTGACCCCTGAGTCCTGTGCCCAGGGCTCCTGTGGGCCACTGCCTGAGGGGCCTGGTCAGAAGGCGCACGCTGCCACCCCAACCCCTTCTCTGCTTCCTGTGTTTCCCCTTTCTCTCTGAAAAAGAATGGGAAGGAGTGTTTCAGACCTTTTTCATTGAAAACAAACACAATTTTAGCATCAGAACTATTTTTCAGAGCGTGCAGGCAAACCATCAAAATGATGGTTCTTCAGCCTTGAAACGTGTTGCCAGCGTGAGTATGAAGTCTGCTAGTCTCCGCCTGGCTTGTTGCCCTGGCCCGGGCAGGGTGTGGTCCATTTTTCTGAGTAAGTCTTAATGCTCTAAAAGCACGCCTTCTTAGACACTGAGGCCCCTCACCTTCGCTGGCCTCTGGTAACTTTTTACTAAAGATTTTTGCACAGTTAAGTCCATCTGTCCACTCATCAATTTTTAAAGCTTTTATGATATTTTAGCATTTGGAAAGAAACTTTTACAGTGAGAGTAGAAGATAGGTTTGGAATCATGTAGCAGATATAAACAATTAATGCATTTTAGCACGTAGACTTATTTAAAAACAGGAAACAAGGACCTTCCGTGCAATCCCTTCTTGATCACAAACTGGCGCTCCTCTTCAGAGCAGGCGCAAGCACAGGGAGGGCGGCGGTCCTGCTCCTTGTGACGATGGCTTCGCTGGATTTCAAGGGCAGCCGCGCTGCACAGCCAGGCCTAGTGACCAGCTTGCTCCTCTGACCAGCAGTCTGTGTTCTCCAGATGGCCTCTGTGGACAGGTGCAGGGGTAGATGTGTCCCCTGCCCTGAGTCCCAGAGGATATGGTTGTGCCCTGGGTGTCCCCCACATGCAAGGTAGTGGTGAGCCATTGGCTTCCTGTCCCCAGCGCCTGTTCATATTGCCACGTCTTCACAGCACACTGCTGGATGCAGGAGCCCAGCACTGGGCTGTATTGTCACGTTCCACAGGGGTGCCTGCCCCCACCACATCCTCTGTGCCTGGGGTTGATGGCATGTTTTCAGGAAGACAGTGTTGGCCTTGTGGGTCACCCACAGTGTATCCTTCCCTCACCACCTATGTGACCAAGGTTGGTTTCTGTGTCAACCTTTATAAAACAAGACCCTCAAATCAAGTTGCTGTAATGAGACCCCTGCTTCTGTCTTGCCTCCTGTTTGCATCTGTGAATAATCATTTGACCCAGACTATTTGCCCTTAAAACAGCCAGATGTGCCATCGTGAACCAAAGCTTTGTGCACATGTGTTACTAGAGGCAGGTGAGCCTCGCTGCGGCCTCCTGTGTCCTTCCTTCCTCTGTCCTGTGTGTGGGTGTGAGTGTTGTGTGCACACAGCCGGGCAGCAGGGGTGGAGGGCAAGCAGAGCCTGTGCTGATGCTGCCGTTCTGCCACAGCCCGTCGTGTAACTTCCAGGTGGCGGCTGGGCCACGGCTGTAAGGGTGAGCCTTGATTGTCTGAACACATAAAGCAGAACTGTCCAAAAGAGAATGGCTGGTGTTTCTTTCTTCTAACTCTGGGAGGCTGGTGGGCTTGGGGACCCTCAACTGGCCAGAATCACCCCCAACGTGCTGTGCTAGTGCCTGGACACAGCTGCTCCTGCAGCAGCTGATCAGCATCCAGCCTGGCCCTCAGCTCCTTCCTTGGTCACCATGGAGGTGGCTTCCCTTAAGGGCTCAGGGTCAGGTTGGGGATGGAACGAAGCCAAGGAGGGTCCTCCCCTTGCAGGGAAAGTAGGGGCTGACCACTGGGCCCACCCCTTGCCCTGTGTTCTCAGCCCATGTACGTTGGCCCTTGGCCACGAGATCTACATCTCTGCTTCTCAGGGTTAAGCTGCTCTATTAAAACAGCAAGCCCTCTGCTGTGACTTGTGGCCGCACTGTGGGGCTGGGAGAGCTGCCCTGACTCCCAGCCCCAGCTGGGCCAGTGCTCAGCTGTGCCCAGGGCTAACGGTGCTAGCAGGAACCAGGGGCTGAGATGCAGACGTATCCCCACGTAGTGCCTGAGGTACCCTCCTGGCCCTGCCCTTTTGTACCTGTAGTAGGGGGCAGACATGAGCCCCTGTGTGCCAAAGCTCTGGGCTCTCATCACAGACACATCGGTGGTTCAGCAATTGTTTATTTTGGCCCTTGTGGCCCAGCTGGTCCAAAAAGAACTGCGGGGAGGGGGAGCAGGCCACAGGAGCCCACGGCCCACAGGGACAGGTGGGCCCTGGGCAGGGCAGCCTGGTCTCAGGCCCACTGTGCTCGCTGCCTTTAAGCATCCTGGGATGAGGCAAGGACTTGGGGAGCCCCTGGGCTTCTGCCCCGGTGATGCAGGCTGGGCTTGGTTCTGGAAAGACTCGTTGTCACTGCTCCACAGGCCTAAGAAGAGGGGGAGGCCCCAGTTTCCTGCAGGGTGTCATCTGGGGACCCTGGTTGGGGCTGGGCTGTAGAGTCCTGGGGCTCCGGGGCCCCTGCGCCATTGGGTTGCTCTACCCTCTCGAACAGGATGAGCATCTCACAATGCGAGGTCTGTGGGAACAGGTCCACGGCCACAGCCTTGACTGGCCGGAAGGGAGTGCCCTTCACCCGGTTAGATGGGGCCCTGCAGAGGCTGTGGTGGGAAGGGAGTGTCAGGGTCAGCCACATGGGTCCAGCCAAGGGCTCCTGTGAGGGGCGTGGGGCTGGGTGCTGGGCCCCAGTCCACCCCAGGTCCACCACTTCACACTCACTCCACAAAGTTGCTCATGGCCGCCCGGGGGTTGCAGGAGACGTACAGGAGCCGCTTGAGGTTCTCAGCTCTGCGGACGGCCAGGATCACTTTGGAATCTGAGGAGGCAGACTCTTCAAGGGAGAGTCCCCAAGGGTCCCCCACCTCAAGGAGGGTATGGGGGGACCCAGTGAGGATGGGCATCAGGCCTGATGTGTGCCATCCAGACATCACTACCGTCTTCTCCCCATGTCACTCCCCAAATAGAGGCCACTCACGCAGGCCGGCGCGGGGCGGGTCCAGGACAGCAACGAGCTGCTGGGAGGCCAGTCTGCTCACCAGGGCCGGCACCAAGTCCTCAGCCTTCCCACAGTGGAACTCAACGTTGCTCAGCTCTGGAGATGGCATGGCAGCCCTGTCAGGGGACTCAGGATATCCAACCCCACAGGGCCCGCCCAGCTGCCTGGTATCCTGAAGCCCCTGGCCAGAGGGGCCTTGAGAAGACCTGCTGGCCAAGGAGCCTGATGGTGCTTACTTCCCTGCCAGGCAGCCCAAGGAACTGTGGGTACAGTCGATCCACAGGGAGCCCTGGTGTGCCCTCTGCCCCCTGGTGGGCCCCAGGGACCACGTGGTGGGTTCTGTGTGCCGTGCTGAGGTATACAGCAGGGGTGACCGCTGCCCCCCAAGGCCTGGCGACCTGCTGTGTGGTGTGCTGGCTCTCACCATTGTTGCGGGCGTTTACCCGGGCATCTTCCACAGCCTCCTGGCACAGCTCAATCCCCACGACTCGCTTCACCTTCTGAAGCGAGGAAAGGACACACACCAATGGCAGCCCACCCCGCCCCCGGGACTTTCTGGGGAGAGGAATAGCAGGAAGCATGTGGAGAACAAAAAAGGATCTGGAACAGGCTGAGGGTTAACCTCTCAGTCTTTAAGCTGGGCATCACCAGGGGTCACGAGGCAGGGGACAACACAGCGGTGGAGTGGGGAGAGGGTGCCTTAGCTTGGGCAGGAGGGCTCACCCGGGCCAAGGCCAGGCCAATGGTACCGGTGCCACAGCACACATCCAGCACCGTGCTCTCCACGTCCAGCTGGGCCCAGTCCTGGATGACCGTGTAGAGTACCTCGGCTGCCGGGGTGTTCACCTGAAGGGCGGGCAGGTGGCACCCAGGATGTCACAGCAGCCCCTTGACCCCCTGAAGCACTTGCATTCCCTGGGGTGCCCCTCTAGCTCGGAGACCTCTGTGGCCCAGTCCTCGGCTCAATCGCCCTCTTCCCAGGCCTTCTGCTCCTGTGCCTTCCCCACCTCTAACTGCCCAAGGCCCCGAGGGCCAGTCCTTGGACTGCCCCTCGATCCACATGATGCCGGGTGACCTCACCCAGTCTCCGGGTTTTAAACACCAACTCGATGTCAGCGACCTCCCCCCTGCCCCCACTTATGAGCATCTTTCCTGAGTGCCAGACTTGTGGGACCCCCACAGCAGCATCAGACATCTCAGACTCCACCAGAGATCACCCCGGAGCCCCCGCATCACCGACTCCTGCGTCCATGCCCCACACATGGCCCTCCAGCAGGCCTGTCACAAGTGTCTAATCAGTGGTGAATAAACTCTTTCCTGTCTCATGGCTCTTGCAGCTCCCCTGCCTGGATGCTCTCCCCCACACCTCTGCGAGGCTAACGCCTTGTCGCTGCTCTAGCCCACTGTCCCAGTCACGTCCTGACATCAAGTCAGGCCTCCCTCCTCGTGTCCTTGTGATCCCCAGAGATTCTGGGCTACCTGGAAGAAGGCGTGTGGGGAGATCTGGAAGGTCAAACCCAGCAGGTCCTCGTGGATGCACCGGTCTCCAGCCACGTGCTCCAGGGGCAGGCCCTCCTGGCTGGGAGTCTGTCTGTGGGCAGCAGGGTGGGCCCATCAGTGTCACCAGCCCGCACAGAGATCTGCCCCCCCAAACACCCAGGCTCCTCACCGCTGTCCCTCCTCCACAAAGTAGAGGCAGGTCACCCCGCTGGCCTTGCCCGGTCCTGTCACGAAGTGCTGCGCCAAGGAGGCCTTCAGCCCCGCCAGCTCCTCAGAGGTCAGTTTCTGGAGCAGGCAGAAGAAAGACCCTGTCCGGCTGTGTCACAGCCCACTCTGGCCCAGACAAGCCCCCCTTGAGGGCCACCCCGCTTGAGACCTGTGGGTGGAAGTAGGCAATGGCCATGGCCTGGCCGCGGCGGCTGGTGCGCACAGTCAGCTGCTTCCAGTGCCCTGAGTACGTCTCTGGGTCGTATGCCGAGTATGGAGTGGACCTGTGGGAGCCATGAACAGCCCTGAGTTCCCGACAGCTGCCGACCAGGATTCAGCCAGCAGCCTCCCTGCTCTCTCCTCCAGCCACATCTGTGAGACCACAACCACACAGCCCCCCAGGCAAGACCCAGGCCCTCTGCTCCCAGACCGCCTCCGGACTTCCCAGGAGCACCCAGCCCAGTCACAAATCCTCACCGGATGAACTCCTGGAAGACCTTCACCACCCGCTTGGTGGCCTCGGGGATGTGTACCGTATCAAAGGGGGCCGCCACAGCACACGTCCCACCCTTGTACTTGCCGAGCCGGCAGCCGACTGTGTTGTCCTCCCCGTCTACCCCGATGCCAACCAGAAACTCACACTTATTACGATACTCGGTCTGCAGGGAGGGAGAAGGGAGGCAGCCACATGGGTGACCTTATCCTGGTAGTGCAGCACTCGTTCGTGGAGAGAACCCGACAGCGAGTTAGTGAGAGACCTCGGTTCCCCTGCAGGATCTGGCAGTCCAGGGAACAGGGCTGACAACAACTAACAGTCACGGGACAAGTACCAGGAACAAACACAAAGCAGGAAAGAAAACAAGAGGGATAGGCAAGGGGAGCTTCTTAAGCACGAATGAGGGTCTGTGGGTAGGCCTGACCTGCTGGGGCGATGGCCTGACCCCCTCCAGTGGGCAGCAGGCCTTGTTGTGCTTGTGCCTCTGCGAGAACAGCCAGGGCAGCAGGGCGCGGTTGGTGCTCCCAATTTCCCTGTAGGGCAAGGTGGGGCTGAGGTTGACCCGCTGCCCCTTGCCCATCCCCAGCCCCTCTCCAAACGCTCAGGTGCTGGACTCCTCCCTTGGGACTTGATCGTCACCACTTACTGGCTAATTCCCAAGAGACTGTGCAGATTCTGCGGCGTCCACACAGTGCACAAGGCAGGCCGAGCGAGCACGGAGCATAGCAGAGCTCCGGTGCTAAGGGGGTGACCTGTGCCCACACTCACTTGGCCAGCCTCTGCAGCACCTGCTCGCACTCCAGCCGCTTCCGCTCAAGCTGCTCCGCATAGGGCACGGTCCAAAGAGGGGTAACTACATCAGCGACACACGTGGCCAGCGGCTCACCCTCATTCTCACGCCGCTTCTTCCTGGCCATAGGATCAGCCTTGGGCCTGGCCAGGCGCACGCTGAGTGGGCGGCCTTTCCAGAGGGCACCATGCAGCACACGCAAGGCCTTGTCCCGCTCAGCTGCGCTGCGGAATGTCACAAAGGCACAGGGAGGCTGCCCGAAGAGTTTGGTCTTATGGGGCTGCAGACCAAAGCGGCCCAGAAAACGCCGCACATCGCTGAAGCTGGCATGGCGTGGCACGTTCTGCAGCTCCAACTTGAAGATCTCCGAGGTGAACAAGTCGTCCCTGATGTAGCTGTAGAGCCCAGGCTGGGGCCCCGACTCTGCAGCCGCCCCAGCGCCCTCCTCTTCCTCCTCCTGGGGGGCCGGGGCTGCAGGGCTGCCCGGGGCGCTGCTGCTGTCCTGGCCGCAGCCCTCCATGGGCCCGGGGCCCTGTATGGGGACAGGAAAGGGCTGGGCTGAGACCTGGACCCCCGGACTCCCTCCCCACATCCGGACCTCCAATAGTGCACCCTTCCCGCAGCCCCGTCAATATCTACCCTCCTCACCCTCGGCCCCTTCTCTGGCCCTCTCCCTTCTCACCCCGCCTCCACCCCGCCCCCACGTCTTTGCTCAGCGGTTTCCTGGCCCGCCCCATCTCCACCTCCCCCATCTCCCCTCCCCCTCCCTGTCTCCGCCCCGCGTCTCTCGCCAGGATCTCCTTCACTTGACTTCGTTGTCCAGATTGTCACTTATCGTCCGGCCCGTCCGCTGCCTGGACTGGGGCCCACGAGGGCAGCCTCGCCCTGGGCCTGGCGCACCAAAGGCACTGAGAGCGGGTGCGCCGCCGCGAGGCCGCCCCCGACTCCGCCCCGGGCGGGGGCGGGACTCGAACCCTTGGACCTCAGGTCCGAGTCTCGGGCATGGGGTGCCCCGCCCGCCCGCCCGCGCCGGCCGCTCGCCTC